TTAATGATATAAGCTTAGTTTGTAGGTTACAAACCCTTTTACTGTATAGTAACTACAAGTTACTATTGTTTGTTAGATACTTATTGTTTGTAATCCCTATATATAGGATACTCCTTCAATTAATAAAGATAGATTGAGATTCTTCTTACTTTCATCAAGAGAGTCTCCATCAAATTGGTATCAGAGCTCCCAAAGTATTTCTGGGCACTCGATGGCAGGAAAGAAACCGACGATGGGAGGCAATTCTTCCATGACAAGCAAAGAAACGGACCAGCCAGCCGTTCTCTCACAACGGGCAGTCACCAAAAGCTTGCAGTTGGTTGACGGAGAGATCAAGAATCTACAAAGTGATGTGGGTGAGATTAAGCAAATACTGGGGGATGATACACCAGATTAGAGGCGCTGAATGTAAACCAGAATTCAGCAAAGAATGACCAACCTCTGCCTCCAAGAATCAGCCAAGATGTTCGCAAGGATGATAGACAGGGTATTCGTATCCAAGAAAGGTCGTTAGCTCCGCAAATATTCCAGCAAGATTATAATGGGGTCCAAGATTACATCAAGATTATCATCAGCATCATCAAGAAGTTAATCTCAACCCTCTGTTCCAAAGATGCCAAGACCTTTACCTGGATTTTTCAAGCGACGAAGAAGAGGATTATTTGGAGATGGATGACAACCAACGGGGATTTCAAAGGAGGCAGGTTAGACACCACGATGCACCCGATTTTAAGATGAAAATCGACCTTCCAACCTTCAGCGGCAAGATGGAAATTGAAGGATTCTTTGAGTGGATCTGGAACGTGGAAAATTTTTTTTCTTACCTAAACACTCCGGAAGAGAAGAAGGTACGTCTTGTTGCTTTTAAACTCAAAGGGGGCGCATCTGCGTGGTGGGATCAGTTAGAACTTAATCGACAACGGTATGGTAAAAGACCTATTCGAAATTGGGAACGTATGAAAAAGCTAATGCGAGAACGCTTCCTTCCTGTCAATTTTGAACATATTTTATATAATCAATATCAAAATTACCGGCAAGGAACTCATTCCATCGCTGACTATACCGAAGAATTCCACTGGTTAGGTGCAAGAACTAATCTTTTAGAAAGCCAACAGTATTTGCAAGATTTGTTGGTGGACTAAGGGCAGACATCAAAGAACAAATTGCATTGCCACCAATTGGGTACTTCAATGAAGCCATATCCATAGCAACCACTATTGAAGAACAAATCAATAACCGGGATAAGAAGACGTACGTTCAGAGAAACACTTGGGACCAAGGGGGTTCCTCGAAGAAAAATGTTGTAACTTCTGACAAGACTTCGGTACCAATGGTAGGGGGTTCCTCCAAAGGAAAGAACATCGCCAATGACGTTTCTGCAGAAGACAAACCCGCCGACATAGCTACCGGCAAGAAGGTAGGTAATACTTATAACTGCCCAACCTTGAGCAAATGCTTTCGATGTGGACAGGTGGGGCATCTATCGAATGAGTGTCCACAAAGAAAAGATGTTGCCTTCATCGAGGAAGAGGACCAACCGAACTATAGTGAGGAAGAAAATCCAGAAGATGACATTGAATACATAGGTCCTGATGAAGGTGAGGCCATCAATTGTGTTGTCCAATGCCTCCTTCTCACTCCAAAAGTCGAACCAGCCTACCAACAACATGCTTTATTCAAATCTCGATGCACTATCAACGATAAAGTTTGTAACTTAATCATTGATAGTGGTAGCACTGAAAACATTGTTGCTAGTAAGCTAGTTTCAGCCTTACATTTGACGTTACATCCCCATCCAACGCCATAAAAAGTTTCTTGGATAAAAAAAGGTGGGGAAGCACAAATCACACACACATGTACGGTACCTTTGTCCATTGGAGCTAGTTACAAGGACCAAATCGTGTGTGATGTTTTGGATATGGACGTTTGCCATATTCTACTTGGTAGGTCGTGGCAATATGATACGCAAGCAGTCCATAAGGGATGCGATAATACGTATGAATTTTGTTGGATGGAAAAATGGGTGGTTTTACTACCTATCCCTACATCTAAAACTATACCTTCAGAAGAAGGTACATCAAAAACCGATACTTTATTCACTTTATCCTCGGCAAAACAACTATTAGTACATAAGGATATGTCTGTTCTTGGACTTATAGTAAAAAATGTCGGGATTTTAGAACAACCATATTCCATTCCAACCGAGGTGGAACAATTGCTTCTTGAATTCAAGGCCATTACAGACACTCCTACGGGATTGCCCCCCTTAAGGGATATTCAACACAATATTTAATTCTTTGTCGGGGCTACTTTGCCTAATCTAGCTCATTACCAAATGAATCCACATGAATACAAAATTCTACACGATAAGTCCAAGAGCTCCTTGATAAAGGACACATCCAACCTAGTTTAAGTCCGTGTGCTGTGCCCGCTTTGCTCACTCCTAGGAAGGATGGCACATGACGGATGTGTGTGGATAGCAGAGCCATAAACAAAATAACCATAAAATACCGCTTTCCTATTCCCCGCATCAATGACCTCTTGGATCAACTTAGTGGTGCTACAACATTTTCAAAGATCGATCTTAGGAGTGGATACCATCAAATCCGAATACGGCCGGGAGATGAATGGAAGACCGCGTTCAAGACAAATGAAGGTTTGTTTGAATGGCTTGTCATGCCATTTGGCCTCTCCAACGTTCCAAGTACTTTCATGCGCCTTATGAACCAGGTATTACTTCGTTCATTGGGCAATTTACTTCTATGTATTAGTGGCAATCATCCAAAGCAATGGGATATGCCGCTTGCACAAGCCGAATTCGCCTTCAACCATATGAGCAACCGCACCACAGGGAAGTCTCCATTTGAGGTTGTATACACTAAACTCCCTAGATTAACTATAGATCTCACTAATATCCCTACGTCTGTTGATCTTAGTGTGGAAGCAGAGGAGATGTCAGCTAGAATTACTCAACTACATGAAGAAGTTCGCCGACACCTAGAAACTTCAAATGCTAAGTACAAGGCTACTGCAGATAAGAAGCGGAGATTTAAAGACTTCCAAAAAAAGCTCTGCCCCCTTCACCCCCACCCGCTAAAGTGGTAAAGAAGGGCTCTTTGAGGTCTCATTTTCTTTCTATCTGACAGGACAAAAAAAACTCAAGAAAAGGAAGCTGGGTCCTTTTGTTATACTTGAATGGATTGGGAAAAATGCCTACAAAATTGACCTCCCAACTGAGTATCATATCCGCCCGGTCTTCAATGTTGCGGATGTTCACCCTTTCCATCCCCCTGATGAGTTTGCATTAGTGGATTAACTCGAGGACGAGTTCTTTTTTTTTAGGTGGGGGAAATTGATGTAGCCGTTTATGGCTTTGGGTAGTTTTAAAAAGCTTTAATGATATAAGCTTAGTTTGTAGGTTACAAACTCTTTTACTGTATAGTAACTACAAGTTACTATTGTTTGTTAGATATTGTTAGTTACATTTAGTTATTGTTAGCTGTAACCCCTATATATAGGATAGATTGAGATTCTTCTTACTTTCATCAAGATTCTTCTTACTTTTATTGAAGGTCGACAGATTTATTGAAGGTCGACAGATTTTGGATCCAATCTTGATTGCCAATGAAGCAGTGGAAGATTATAAGACTTCTTGAGTTCTTTGAGAAACGAAAACAGGTTCTTGGGGCATTCTTGGAGCTGGCATAGCGTGATCTTGAACAGTTCTTGGCGCAGCCATCTGACAATCTTGACCAATCTGGATTCCTGACTGTCATATCTCTTTGTTTTTATCTAATCTTGGAGGATTCTGTTGAAGGTTTATCGCATCTATCTTATCAGCAATCGTATTCAGCAGTTGACGAATCTCTACCACATTCCGTTGGAGGTTTTCGACAGCCACCTCAACCATCAATAAACGACTAGTTGTGGATCGTAGAGAGAGGATGGGTGTTGAATCCGTCTCTTTTCCGGCAAGGGAAGGTTCTCCCGAAGAACCCTTTTTGCCCGCCATTCTTCGAGCCCAAGAAAGAAAGAGCTCTGATACCAATTGGTGCAAACCAACTAGAGATAAATATATTCTTATTCAAAACTTAACCAAACTACAGAGAGAGGCCTCTTTAAAAACAAACAAGTTGGATTAACTAACCCAACCGAACTACTAACAACAAACTAACTAATACATGAGTAAGGATTACATCAGAAACAAAGGGAATATATTCCAGAACCAAGACCCCAACCATGGAAAGACAACCAAAAGGCGGAGGGTAGCCAAAGAACTATATAATCACAGCTTTCCAATCTTGTATAATCAAACCAATTTCATCTCTCAATCCTAGTGTACACTGTAAAAATCTCAAGTAAAGTCAAGATCACATCTTCTCTTACTACCAATTCAGTAAGAGATGATGAAACTTCATGCTACAAAGTATTAACATACACTTTCACTTATCTACAAAAATAAAAATTATCTCAGACATTGCAAGTATATCCACTAAAACACACACACACACAAAAGAAAAAGAAAAAGAAAAAGAAACCCGAGATCATTAGGGTAGATGCAAATGCATCAAGGCAACCCTTGCAAAATGAACAAAATGAAAGGGTCTTCAATGACAAGGAAATGCTATAGATAGCTAAATTTGATTGTTCACTTTAGAGTCCTTTGTCTCCATTTTTTTAACTAATCCCCTAAACATGATTAAATATGAACTGGATGGCTTCTTTGTAAAGAATAGTGAATAGCTTAGCTTTGACCAAGAGGGGTTCTCTAAGGAGTTTTACGTCTGCCTTAATGATAACCTTTTTGACAGATCCTTCTAATTGCACGTTTCATTTGATCAATGAAAAGTTTTTCATTTTGTGAAAATAAATACTGAAAAAACTTAGTTTAATGTAAGAGGTTAAAAAAAATTCATAAGGAAACGTGTTTTCTAGATAATAATTCACAAAGTAACAAGTTAACCATAAGAGACTAATTCATATAAATGTGGTAAACATACTCTACGATTCTTGTAGGTTGAGCTAGCTTTCGCATTAGAAGTTGCTGCTTTTCAGGGAGTTTCTTCTGGGAATGGAATTCAGCAAAACTTCTTTTCAACATGTCTTCTACCTGCAGAGATGATTACCAAGACATCTTAAATCGACAGTGCACGGATATATTTGATAATCAACATAATGGAAAAAAATGAGAAGATGAGAAGTTTTACAACAATGAACAGAAATGCTTTGTTGCTCACACCGAAACATTCAATCCAAATATACAATAAAAATTTCTCATTAAAAATGTCTTAATATAGTATTCTTTGATAAATATCAACTTAAACAGAGATCATCTTACTATTCCCTTGGGGTTTAAGGGCAATGAGAATAAAAAGAATGAGGGCTCTTTTATTGAAGCGCACAAAAAAAACTATACATAAATTTATGAAGAACGTATAGTATTTTGAATAATAAGATAAATGAAAACTTTATGAAATTAGAGTTTTGTAAGTTGTTTAAAGAAATGAAAGCTTTTGGAGTATATTTTCAATTTATTTATAAAAAATTAGACAGACATATATATATATTTCAAAAATAATTTATAAGAAATCGAGATAAAAATTGATGCACGTCACCTTGCTTCCTAAGTGAAATTCTTTTCCAGTGGCTTTTCTAATCTAAGAGAGCGAACCTTTTTCCCGAAGCATTTTAACACAAACATACCTTTAACTCTTCAACCCGAAGGAGATGTAGGATCATTATATAGGTTAAACGGAATTGAGATTCAAGCTTGGTAGCACTTCCAACTATCACACGCTTCAAATCCTTCTCTTCTGGAATCTCCTCACGACACATTACAATGACAGTTCCAATTTTATCCAGTCCCCTTCTACCAGCACGACCTGCCATTTGGGTATATTCCCCTGGTAATAATTGCCTAAACTCCTTTCCATCAAACTTCCTTAAAGTGTCAAAAACAACCTGCAAGTAATGATTAGAGATCAAATATAAGATATGAAAATGTCAATTATCCATATGAACTGAGCAGCATACTGTCAACTAAGGTCCTGGCTAAAAAAAGGTGTGGACTATTAACATAGCAAAGCAACGAATCTTTCCTACCTTTATTGTTGACCATGTGTTCACATTATGAAACAAGAAAATAGGACTATTAGTTATACACCATCTCAAAATAAACAAGAAAAACACAGATGTCCCAATAGTCCATGTTCAGTTTCATGCAAGTTAAGCTGATGGTATACAAAAGACAACCCACTTTAAGAATCTAAGATCAAGACCTCCAAACAGTCTAGAAAAGATAACCAAGGCAGCACATGAGACACTTGAATTTTTAGGTACATCTGCTAAACCTACTATTTCAATTACAATCCATGATGATCAATGACACCCACCGTTCTTGCTGGTGCATTAACTCCCATTGCAAATGTTTCTGTTGAAAACAAAACCTGCAACAAAAATAGAGGTAAGCATAGACCTATTGTTTTCACTTGAACTCCATTGCATCTGATGAATTTAGTTACTATGATAGAATGGTGTAAACTCTCAAGATGCAATTGTGACTGGTTACCACATCAAAAGTATATAAACAAAGCACTATAGAAAATTGAGGCTGTGAAGAAGGCAACTTTACCTTTATCACCCCACGGCAAAATAGCATTTCGACGACTTCCTTAACAATTGGAAGTAGACCTGCATGATGCACTCCAATCCCTCTATGAAGAAGGCCTTGAACTCTAACAATCTGTATACGGTATCTTTTTATTACATTGCCGCAA